TTAGAGAAAAAGCCTGGACAGATAAAGTGACTACTAGAAGAGAACTGGAATGGGGACAAAGAAGAGGGAGAGTCAGGGTCAGAAGGGATTAGGGACTAGTAAAAGAGAGGCAGGCTAAAGACAGAAGGACCAAAGGAGAACTATTAGGGATGGGCGGCTAGGAGGAGGAGTCAAAAGAATGGCAAACTGAATCGAAGGGGAAAAGGTAGGCAACTGGGGAGGGGGAAGGAGCAAAGTGGAAGGAGTAAGGAAGTCAAATGAGAAAGAAAAATGCAGGGGTGGTAGCGTATGCTTTGGAAAAGTTAGGTGAAAGAAAGAGATATGGGTTGAAGGTTGAGAAGTACTGAGAACTAGACCACAAAAGTGAGTCATGGGAGAAACAGAAGGGAAAAGACAAATGTTGAAGCAGACCAGGAAGAAGGAAAGAAAGGTTACTACTAGGATAAATAATAAGAAAGAAGTGGTCAAAAGAGAAAAGAAAGAGATACAGAAAGTAGAGATAATGAAAACACCCGTTAGTAGAATCTCAGTAAATGAAGGAAGAGAAACTTATTTTAAAAGAGGAGAAGAAATTGAAAAAAATAAGCTATTAACAGCAGATTCCTAACTTACGTAGGTGGCAGTGTTCTGAAGACCATTTAGATTATGGAGTTTATGGATTAAAGTTATTATAAATAACAAGATATGTGTAAACTACCAAAGAAAAATTACACCTTTATAGCAATAAATAAAATATTTCCACACTTATTATATAGATAAATCAGAGTTGCATAAAATTGAGTGGGTGGTATATGTATAATGCTCAACTTTGTAAAAGAAACTATCTGGAGAAAAATTTCAAGAAGATGAAAGAATCTCAAGTCACCCAAGATAGTACATAAAATTGTTCAAGTCAAATATAGAAAATTATGTTAATAAAATAAACCCCCTCTAAAAATACTACACAAATTATTGAGTGATGTGTAGGATGGGTTAAAGATTTGAAGGGTACAAAATAGCCTAAAAGAGCAGAGACCTGAAACTTTCTCTCTATGCCAAAACAACAACAACTGCAGAATCAGAGAATCAGGAAAGGCAGGACTAATAGTGGTATCAGATAGTTGAGATGCAGAATAAAACAGGTGAGAAAACTAGCTTTGCAAGTAGCATAGAGCTAACCAAAGACTGTATTGTGCACAAGGTGAGGTTGGCCTGCCTTAACCCAGGCCCAAAGAAATACACTAGATTCCAGAAATATATTGGTGGAGAGTAAAAACTACATCAAGATTAAAAGCTAGAGAGAGGTTCAGACATACAACGTGCAGTATAACCTGTAGAAATTTATAAATGCTTTTACTATGGAAACTGATATGAGATGGACACTTTCAGACACATCATAAACAGAGGCTTTGTATAAGAAGCTGTTGACCAGGTAAATGGGTCAGGAATGGTAACTAGAAAAATCCGAAAATTTTGTGGCAATCTAAAATTGCCAACATGAGGATGCCCTCCCAGGGATTGTGATAAAAGAGGAGAAAGTCCCATCTTTGTTACATTAAGTTTCAAGAACATGGAGACAGCAAACACAAAAGATGGAAGAAGCTAGGATGTCAATCATGTATTGGCCTTTTAATGTACTCCCTGTTTGCTTCCACATGGATTCCAGATAAAAGAAAGAAAAAGAACTAAGGGTGGGGAGGAGCACCTAGGATCAGTGGGGCAGAAGGAATTGTCAGATATTTCTGCCCCAATAGAAAATATGATGCTTGAGAATTGGGAGTTTCCAGACCATGAGTTAAACTGACTTGATGATTGTTGGTCAGGAGGAGAGTGAGTCCAAACAAACCTTGTGTCCATATCATCGTCGTCGCCATTCAAGGCTGGAAAGTCTGCCTCCAGTCCCCAAAACCTAGAAGCTAGCAGAAAGTACTCCCCTACACCTTGCAAGTCAGCCCCTAATAGGTCAGCCCCTAATAGGCCCGGATTCCCAGTACTGAAGGGCGGGACCCTTGACCTCTTGAGGCCCAAGAGGCAAGCGCAGATCTGTGTGTGTGTGTGTGTGTGTGTACACACGCGCGAGCCCTTGGAATGGCCCAACACCGGATTCCTAAGCCTTGAACTCGGTTGTCTGACCTGGAACTCAACCACTGAGGGAAGGAAAAAAAAAAAAAAACTCTCCCAAGCCTAAAGAGGTCAAAATCGAATGACCTGTCAGTAAGTCTGCAAAGCAGGGGGTTGGTCCCAAAGCCCGATTCCTCAGGGAAGGGCCACCGAAAGAGGTGAAACCTCAGGAACCAAAACACTGGGGCATGACTGGGTACCTCCAAGTGCGAAAACAGGTTTAGTTTTCTAAATATCAGCGCGTTGGCCCTTTAAAATAACTCCGTACCCAGGGCTCTGAGAGACACGACTGACCCCGAAGACCAGATGCAGGCCGCTGGCGGAAAGCAAGAAGGAAAAGACGACATCATCAAGGTCTTTGTCGTCCAAGGCCCTAATACCCAACCCTTTCAAACCTTCTGAAAAGGAGCGGCAGGAACCTTCTTTAGTTTTTAACTAATAAACTAGTGCCAAAGTAAATTGTTAAGGCAAAACCGGGAGCGGGACGAAACCCTGATCCTGAAGGAAAGAAACTAAAAGTTGGGGTCTCAGTGCCGCACTTCAGACGGTGCACCGGTCGACACGTGGCCCTGGGGGCGGGGGTATTGGCTAAGGATTTCGTCTCAGGTCTGGGGCGCGGGCTATTCCAAGCAGAGAGCTAGGCGGAGAGCGCCGCAGTGGGTTTAAGTGCTGAGCTCTACACCTGATCGGTACCAATCTTCTGGCTCCGAGAAGTCCTCGGAGGTGCGGAGGGCACCCAGATCCCTCAACCATATCCCGGGGCTCACGAATTCACTTCCCCCTGGGGATCGGATCTCTGCGCCGCGCAATAACCCCGGGCGCCGAGCTCCGGGAACGAGGGAGGAAGGGAGGGAAAGAAGAGCAGACGGGTGGGGCTGACTTACCTGCCCGGAGCTACTGCTGCCTCTGCGCTGTCCGTGTGTCCCTGCGCACCGCAACCAGCAAAGGCAACTAGGCTTTGCTAAGTTTGGCCTCGCACCTCCAGAGAAGAGGCGCGAACTCGCAAAGGAAAGGCGCGCGCGGTTCCTGGAGAGAGGTCCCCCTGAACTCGGGAAGGGCAACGCAGTTAATTCTGCTTGAGAAATTAATATTTAAAACACCCACGCAAAAATCACGGCGGCCGTTGAAACTTCTAATGCCTGCTTTGAAAGTCTCCTTACACCAGCCAGGCGGATAATTCAGACCTATATGACTTCATCTTAAGGTCGCTAACTTCTTTCAGGAAGGGTTTCACAGCTACTGTGTAAACAGGACAAACAAATGACATGCACTCCAAAACACCAAGAGAGAGAACTTTTACTTAAACGAAGAATAAGTGAGTGTAAGAGCCAAAGGGAAGAAGTTAAAAACTTTAATTACAGCACGGAGAAAAGTTTTCACAATTGGTTTCCTTAAACGGGATAACAAACATACCAACACTCCTGCAGTCCATTGCACTTCATTTAAGTTTGGAGCAACCCAATAACCTCAATTCCCAAATAACAGTGCCCTTGGGACTGCCTCAAAGAGGTCCTAACTCATGTTTCAGTAACAAAAACAGCAAACTATGAATAATGCTTTGCATTCTTTAAGATGCTATTTTGCAAAAGAACAAGGCGTTGTCCCTTGACTTTAAATGGATGGAGAATTACATTAAATTTCACTTGCATTTGTCCATCATCCTGTTAGGAAGACCACAGCCACAGCGACAGTAGCAGCAAAGCACCGCCACAAAGGAAGTAGGGAAAAGTGGCAAAAATGCATAAACTTTTTTCCAAGAAAAATAAAGAAAAATCAAAAATAAGTTTTACAGACATGCCTTTCCTAGCTTAGGGAAGTTAATTTTCAAATGTGCTTCGGCTATCTAAGGTGCAAAGCGGTGGCTAGGGGAATGCGTGGCTGGAATCTGCATGCTGATAAGAGAAGGCTGATGTACTTACAGTGACAGAGGGCAGGCTGCGGGAGAAAAGCTGTTTGTGTTAGCCTGCGAGTTACCCAGGGCTGCAGTGAGAGCAGAAGGGAGGAGTGGGAGTGCCAGTCTGCGTACACCTTCACCGCGTCTCATTACATCTGCCAGCCTCTCTCTCCCTCTCTCTTTCATTTCCACATTCCCTTTGTTCCTGAAAAAAAAATCTACACGTCACATCAGAGTCCCCAGATGCAGTCTACACCAAAGAAAAAAATGAATAATTCAATCAAACTGTGCATAGTCTCTAAGGCAATAAATCTATTGCACTTAAAGAAACGAAGGGTAATTACCACCATGGAATTAGAATAAGGCCAAAGACCAGAGATGTCGCTGAATCTTCGGGTAAACTCCCCAGTCAAATAAAGTTTCATTTATTTAATCCTTTGACATCTCAAATGAAAAGTCAGGAAAAGATTTTAAACTTATTTTAGAAGGTTATTCACTTCTTTTTAAACACATTATAGAAATGGGGGAGGGGTGAGAAGGGGAGAAAAGCCTGGCGCAACTACCTTGCTCAAAAGCTCCCAAAGGCAGCAGCATAGAAAGAGTACAGACACCAACCAAGCCAATGTGTGTCCGTGGAGCCTGTCCAGGGTCCATTTCTCTCCCACTCCACCCTCCTCCACTCCCCTCTAATCAGAGGAGGATCGCCCTCCACTCTCACACGCCACCGCAGCTTTGCAGGAGGGCAGCTGGAATCTGAGAACCTTACCTGCTGCACGGAGACCTAAGAGAACTCGCGCTTCCCTGCCACCAACACCCCATGCCATTCCTATGCACCCCTCCAAAGTCCCATTTACTTCTAAGAGAAACTGTAAACGGGATTGCCCCCACCCCACCCCCAACCCCACGATTGAATGGAAGCTCTGTACTGTACCGACTTCTGGATATGCCCTGGATTGAGTTTAGGGAATGTCTGGAAAGAAAGGGGGGGGGGGGAGGGAGGGCACCTCGAGCCTTGTCCAAGTTAGTCTGAAGGCGGTATTAGGCAGGAAAGCGCCCACAGGAGAAACAGCTGGGATGCAGACCGACTATGGAAATCTCAGTTCTAGGAACCGTGTCCTTTCGTCCCAAAGGTAAGATTGAATGACTGTCGCACGTTTATTCTTTTGCTGTCTGTGTCTCTTCCCCACCCCAAACTACCTCTACTACTCGGATCTGCCACCATGCACCCGAGAGAAGGGCACAAGCACAGCGAAGGGCTTTATTTTCCAGGTCTCTCTACTCATAAATCGTGGGTGTCACTAAAACAAGATTAGCAAATCTACCGCTGGTAACAGCGACCAGAACCTCTGTCCCTCTGCCAGTTGCTCACTAATGGAAGCATCTCGGGCTGCACATCGGTCCCGAAGCCACAGCCCGTCGGGTCGCTGGGCCTGCGGGCTCAGGTGACACAGGGAGGCTCTCGGCGTCCCAAATGGGTTCGGTCACGGGTTTCCACCCCATCACCACTTTCCGTTGCCTACGCGCTCGAGCGTGGTGTGTGTGTGTGTGTGTGTGTGTGTGTGCGTGTGTGTTACACACACACACCGCGCGCGCGCGCGCGAACACACACACACACTTTTGACATTCTGGCCGAACTCCTCATCTAAACTGAGGTTCCCTTTAGCAGTCAATTCAGCCCTCCCGAGAGCAGCAGGGAAACTAGGATACGTGGATGAACCGCTAGGGTGCCAACCGTCCGGTTTGGCCGAGCTTTGTTTATGTGCCTAAGTCGCCACCTTGAGGTCGAGCGGAAGACTGCGCGCAGCTCAGGACTTTGGAGGCCCACCAGGCTGACACTGGCCCAGGAGCCTTGGCGACCTCCTGGGACTGGTTGAAAAAGAAGCAAAGACTGGTCGCCCTGCGGGCAAAGGAGCTCCAGAAACAGGGCCTGTTTTCTGGGACCCGAGCTGAAAAGAGCGACGGGTTGAAACTACAAACTAGCTGAATCCAACAGTCATGAATCCTGCAAAGAACGCATTCTCCTAGCAGAGTACAAAGCTCGGGTCAAACAGTCTGCAGCTCTAAGGAGGGTGCTGCGTTTTGGAAACTTGAAGCACTAACTCCCAGGGCAGTGGTAGAGGGTAAGGGGCAGCTTCGATGAGACACAGTGTCCGCTTCTGTCCTGGACAAGGGCCGAGCGTTCTTCTGAAGTGACCTTAGTTCTGCGAAGAAGACTCTGCATTGCCTGGGGCTCATTTCTCCCTTCTCTCCAGAAGACAAAGGGATTCAGGGATGCGGCTAGACCCAAGGTCACAAGTCCAGGTCTCTGAGATGAGAACTGGGGGCAGCAGAGGGACATTCAGGCAGCCCAGCTGCCTGATGGTAGAGCTAGGCACTTCAGCTCAGTAGTCACCCATTTCTCAGGAAATCTGTCCTTTTGAAAGTTGAACAATGGATTTGGTAAAATAATAATAATAATAATAATAATAATAATAATAATAATAATAATTGTTATAAACTATATATCTTTTTCCTTTTTCCCATCCCTGCCTTTATTAAATCCTTTGTGTGTGTGTGTGTGTGTGCACAATTCTTCCTATATTTTGCCTTATGCTATAAAGATACCAAGCTTAAGAACCCCCTAGCTAAATCCTGGAATAACATAATTGTGGTTTTTCTTTGTTATTCCTGGACACTGCCTCCACGACTTGGAGACTTCTACAAGTTCACACCACACCAAAGGCCATCCTCAGTGAACTGTGCCCCATCAATGCCTCCATCGTTTTCCCTGCTACTTGAGTGCATAGATATTGTTTAAATACTGTTTTACCAAAAAAAAAAAAAGCAGAATTCTCTTTATTTCAAGGGAAAGGACACACTTGGGCACTACTTGGGTTACATGAAAGCCAAATCAGCCCTGGCTGACTCCAACTGGTGCATTTCAGAATTTTGGTTAGCAAATAAATAAATAATAAAATAAATTTTAAAAATAGAACCACAGTTCTATATGGTGCTAATGGGCAACAGGAAATGTCTTTTCAAAGGAGAGAAGCAACAGGCCCTTAAGCTAGACACCATTCCCCTGTTTTATGCCACCAACTAGCAAATTAACATTGGATCACTCCTTCACTCATGTGGAAAGCTAAGTGTTAGTGAATATAGTACTGAATTTTCCCAGGGAATCCCAATTATAGAAACACCTGTGCTAAGTAATGCTATTCTAATCCACTATAAAAACCTTAAGTATGTAATAGCCCTCACATCATCTCATTTCTTAGACACAGTGGGGTGGGCTAAACTCATGGAAGAACATTAGACTTCTACAATGTCTCCAGAGCCTTAACTCACAGGAGTCTTGGTTCTGCCATACTTAATGCTGGCTGTTTATTTTATCCTAAGTGGAAGGAATATACATTGATGTCTAACACAACCAGCAGACAGTAAACTTGGGTTGAAACATCTTTAAAGAGAAATCCAGTGGCTACAAAACTGGAACACACATCATATGGGCAGTGAGAGGCCAATTCCATGATTTTTAAACAAACAAACAAAAAATCCTAAGAATATAAGTCAGTATTCAGTCTATATGTTCCACTTTATTATATATTAATGGCAAAATATAATGAAATAAATCACCACAAATAAAGACTATGATGATATGGTAGGAACGCATTGTAAAGTGTAAAATTCTAATGATCTCAAAAACAATTCTTGTCAGCCATTTTTTAAATGCCAAATCTAATTTTTTTGAAATATTATCTCAAAAATACATAATTAACATAAATAAATATACATAAAATTAAGGAATTATTGTTGTATTACTTTTATTGCTTCAGGCTACCAAAACTAATGCCACTGAAACATTGAGAAGAAAAAAATTATAAGCCATCCAAATGTTTTTCTTACAATGCTACAAAGAATTTGAGAAATCTTTTCTAGCTAAAAGTGATCTAGATAATTACATAGAAAAGCATGAATATCACAAAAAAAAACAGAAATGAAAAATATGATGAAGAGTTATAGGATAATTCATCCTAGAAGTAAACTTTACTCACTAAAATTCTAAGTACTCCTCATGATAACATTCTTCTGATATCTTTTAAGCATTAGGTAATATTGCTAAAGCATTCACATTCTTTTATATGTGCTTCTCTCTGTCTAAAGAAACACTCCCCAAATCTGAGGGTTGCCATTCATAAAGATGATGTCATTATACATTTTAGTCACAGTGGAAAGATTTGATAAATCAGTATTAGGTTCATTGTGATACCTTGTAAAAGACAAGCCAAAAATAAGTAAATAGAATGCTGTAATACAGGTCACCAATAAATATCAAACAAAAAATGATAATTTGGTAATATTACCAGTCTTCAAAAATTTGATAATTTATCTCAGAAATTCTGTTTTATACATTGCTATGTGTTAGTGTTGTGTTTTTAAAACTGAACTTGACTAAATTCTCTAATTTAAAATTTTTTTACTTAAAAATCTTTCTTCTCAAATCCCAGATTGCCATTGTGAAAATTTCTAAATACAGGATTTCTGATGTATGTGTTTTTAAATATCACAATTATATTGAAGTCTTATTCACACTTAAATATATTCAGTGTTTAATGTATGCAAGTAAATAATTAAAAGTATGTAAACTAAGGATTTACCTTTTGTGCTTTTATGATTTAATAAATAAAAATAGTTTTTTAAACTATTGCATATATACTAAAAATTAAATTTTATTTAAAATGCCAGCAGAAATATCATGTTCAGTATTTGATAATTCCACATGATGTTATTTCATTTTATCTGGAATATACTATTTAAATTACCTCAGTTATTTTACTAATCAATAAATTATATACATTTCTAAAAGTAGTTTTCTGACTTATCAAATGATATACCTTAAAAAAAGCTGTTTAAGAGAATATGTAGTTATGATATAATTCTAAGTAACATATTTTACTTTTAAATCAGTTCTAAAAGAAACCTCAAATTGTATCTTAAATCAAAGTGCTCAATATAATTGCTATGCAAAATTATTCCATAACTTGCTTAGTTTTATGTCTTGTGTACATATAATAAAATAGAGATACTTACTTTCTAAAATCAATTAAACAAATGAAAGCTAAAAAAGAATTCAGTGTTCCCAAGTATCTGGATGTCTGCTATTATTTAAATAATTCATCAGACTTTTTCAACTTTCTGAAGTTTTTATTAGGATCTTTTGCATTATATTTGAGTATATTATCCTTCAATTGAGGGGAGAAAGACAACAATACTGAGAGTTTGCCACAATGACTATCCTCATGTTCATTAATGTTATTTCATTTTATCTGGAATATACTATTTAAATTACCTCAGTTATTTAAATTACCTCATGTTCATTAATGTCTATGAAAATAATATGAAAAGCTTTACTTACACTTAAAGTTCTAGTATAGTAGGTGTCTGAGAAAAATATTTAAACTCAAGAGCTCAATATAAATACCTCTTTTAATTGTATACAATATGTTATCAACCTACTTTCAAAGTTGATGAAGTTTAGTACTAAAATGAATATTAAGCAAATAAGTGTTAACTGTGTTCACTAGAATTAGCATATTTCAGATTATAGTTTATAAATTTTTAAGAACATCAGCATCATGATATGGTTGTCATAGAAACTGCAACAATATGTCATTTCAATTAATTTTATATGCAGTGATAAGGCCTAGTTCTACAGCACTCCAATACAAGTTTGAAAGCAAAAACTAAAAGCAAATATAAATAGTGAATAGTGAGTTCCCAATTTCTACCAGCTTAGAAACTAATAAAGTACAAGAAAAAATGAAAATGCATTCTAATTGCACAGTAAGATCTCAATTTAATAAAGGTTGTAAAATGTTTTTAAATTAGTACATTCTGAAAAAAAAAGTTTTAACTAACAATTCTTCTCTTAATATTCCTTATTTTTGTTACTTAGGTCTATTTATAGGCAACAAAAATTATTATTTATTACATATTACTTAATTATTAAATTGTGGATGCTCTTTCTGTTCTCAAGAGATAGATACATTTACTTTAACATTAAAAATTCAGGAAAACTAGACCAAATTTTAATATTTTTAAAGTAGTTATTGCAACAGATCCTTCTCGTTTAGAAGGAAGTCACACTGTA